CAAGTCGACTGAAGAGCAGATCTCGCTCAAAGGTATGTCGTTGCTTTCCTCCCATTCAATGTCGCTCTAATAATCGTGCAGACTACATCACCCGCATGCCCGAGATCCAGAAATCGATCTACTACCTCACCGGCGAATCCCTTGCCTCCGTCCGCGACTCACCCTTCCTCGAGGTCCTCAAGAAGAAGGGCTTCGAGGTCCTCCTCCTCGTCGACCCCATCGACGAGTATGCCATCACCCAGCTCAAGGAGTTTGATGGCAAGAAGCTCATCTGTGTGTCAAAGGAGGGGCTCGAGCTCGAGGAGACGGAGGAGGAGAAGAAGGCACGCGAGGAGGAGGCCACCGCCTTCACCGAGCTGTGCACCACGGTCAAGGACGCGCTCGGTGACAAGGTCGAGAAGGTTGTCGTCTCGAACCGCATCACCGACTCCCCTTGTGTTCTCGTCACCGGGCAATTCGGCTGGTCGTCCAACATGGCAAGTGGCTTTGGCGTTATTACGATTGGCGCTGACGTCCTCTGCAGGAGCGCATCATGAAGGCGCAGGCACTGCGGGACTCGTCGATGTCGTCGTACATGGCATCGAAGAAGACGCTGGAACTGAACCCCAACAACGCGATCATCAAGGAGTTGAAGCGGAAAGTTTCGGAGGACAAGGGCGACAAGTCTGTCCGCGACCTGACGTACCTGCTCTTCGAGACGGCGCTGCTGACCTCTGGATTCGCGCTGGATGAGCCGACATCATTCGCCAAGCGCATCCACCGCATGATTTCGTGAGTTGCTTTGTGCTGCGCTGCTTTGTGCTTTCTAACGGCCTGACAGTCTGGGCCTGGACGTCGACGAGGACGAGGAGGAGGCTGCCGCTGTCGAGGACGACGACGCACCGCCGCCATTGGAGGGCGCGTCGACGTCGGCGATGGAGGAGATTGACTAATCGTTGGCGCTAGATTTACTTACTGTACTTACACTTGCATTTTGTCTTGAATTCTCACTCGCACGAACCAAAATAACAATCTTTTCTGACTCGTTGCTGTGTGATATGAATGATTCTTTTGTCTTTTTAGCTGATTCGTTTGTCGTGCGCGGTGTGGAGGGTGGCTGGGCACAATGCCAGGATCGTGGGAATACGTAAAACACTCCCACCGTGTGATGTGACTGCTTGACTCCAACCACCACGCGAACGCGCGCGTCCCAAAGCCCATTGTTCTCCCTAATGACTGCCTGATCCAAAAACCCATAAAGACCCCTCACGACACTCTCTGTATTCTTATTATCCCTCCAATGCTCGCCGTTGTAGCTCCCCAGCCCACCTTGGACCTACCACCACCAGCTATTTATTCCATCGTTCGTCCCTCCCAGCGCGTCGCGTCCCCCTTCTCATTCGCGCTACAGATGACCAACCAACCCCTCGGCGCTTTGACGCCACAATGCCTCCAGTCCCCGATCCTCCTCAACTCGCGACTTCGTTCGGTACGCGCCTTCGCCTCATTTTTTGTCGCGACAGCTCACTCTCCGCGCCTCCAGCCGCTGTGCAGCACCCCCCATAGACGCCGCACCGCACGTCCGCGTCGACGACGCCACTGTGCGCGCTCCGAGTGCCCAATCGAGTCCGCACTCCACCCCTTTGACCGTCTGCCGTGGATATCCGCCATGGATGCCATCCCAGACGCGTTCGACCTCGCAGATATCGCAGATCTTTCCCAGCTCGTCGTCGACGAGCCCTCGCCCGCAGTACCACCAACTGCAGGGCCCATTCGCCGTCGAAAGACCTCACTGCGCTCCAACCCTCTCGCCCCCAAGCTCCATAACAACTTGCATGAAACGACCCCACATACACCTCTCTCACATTATAATCCGTCTCGCATCACCTTCCACAACCTTATGCCCTTGCCTATGTTTTCTTGCGATCACACCGCACGGTCCTAATGCGCGCGCACCTTTGCCGCTGACCACTCTACTGTCGCCACCCATAATCAGCTCAGTAACTGCAACATATCTTCGACCATAATCCCGCATCTCGCTATCTATAACCGGCCTCATCGCTCGATGTATTCTCAAGTATTCTCCATCTGCATCGTCATTTATTACTTGAAACGAACTTCGGAGACGTATATACTGCATTAGTACCGATTTCTTTTTGCTTTCCACACCCATTGTTGTTGCCATCTCAGCATAAGGCTGATGTTCTGACCTACCAGCTTGCATGCATACTTTTACTTACACTTGGCCGTATCATTTACTGCATATGACGCGATCGTCCCCACTCTGTATCACACGCAATAAAGCTAAAATTCTGTTGAACCACACACCCATGTCCGACGGGAGGGTCATTAATTTTGGTGCAGGGCCTTCGGCGCTGCCCGCTTCCGTCCTCGAGGAAGCGGCGAAAGGTCTCCTCAACTTCAATGGCACCGGTATCGGGATCGCAGAGATCTCCCACCGCTCGAAAGAGTTTACAGCGTTCCTCGCAGAGGTGGAGAGTCTTATTCGCAGCCAGCTAGACGTGCCGGAGACGCACGGTATTCTGTTCACACAAGGCGGAGGGTCTGCCCAGTTTTCTGCAGTCGTCCTCAATCTGCTTGCACGGCACCATCTACTCAATCCTGACCTTCCCGAACGCGATCTGGACTATGTCATAACTGGTTCATGGAGCAAGAAAGCCGCCGAAGAGGCGCGCAGGCTGGGGGGCGGCCGCGTCAACGTCGTGGTTGATGCGCGTGCGTCCTCGAAGGACGGCAGGACCTTTGACAGTATTCCCGCACATGCGTCCTACTCTTTCACGAGCCCCAACCCCGCGCTCATCTACTACTGCGAGAACGAGACCGTGGATGGCGTGGAATTCTCCAACGACGCGTCGTCTCCCGCATCCTTCCCGTTCCACCTCCTGCCGCAAAACACGCCCCTCTTGCCGCTCGTGGGCGACTACTCGTCGTCGTTCATGTCGCGTCCCATCCCCCGCCTCGCCGACCACGCCATCATCTACGCCGGCGCGCAGAAAAACATCGGCCCTGCGGGACTTACCATCCTCATCGTGCGCAAGGACTGTCTCGTCGATGTTGACGCGGCGGCGAAGCTCGGCGCCGCGCCCGTCCCGCTCACCATGGCGTACAAGACCCTAGCGGACAATTCCAGCGTGTACAACACGCCCGCGGTGCTCCCGATCTACATCTCTGGGCTCGTGCTCAGGCGCTCCGCAGAGCAGGGCGGGGTACAGTATTACGAGGCGCTCAATAAACGCAAGGCGGACAAGCTGTATGCAGCTATCAAAGAAGGTGAAGCCAGGGGTGTCTTTAGAGCCAAGGTCAAGGAGGGTTCGGGGAGCTTGATGAATGTGGTGTTTGACGTGGTCGGCGACGGGGCAGAGGCCAAGTTCATCTCGGGCGCCGAGGCACTGGGGATGAAGGCGATTAAGGGACATCGGTACGTTCAACATTCACGAAGCTTAAAATCACCGCTAATGCGCCGTCAGATCGGTTGGAGGTAAGCAAAATATAATTTTCTGTGTTCCCAGGTGCGACCTTTATGACAGGCATACGCGTTTCGTTGTACAACGCGGTCACGGAAGAACAAACCGATGCGATTGTGGCGTTTATGAAGAGTTTCCTCGCTCAGTAGATGATGATTCGATACAATCCCACGACACGATAAATGTTTTAGTAGTGCGATGTACAAGCTTTACAGAAACATCACGTCGGAGCGGAGGACATACTTCATGCCCGCGACGACGGGCGACCCTTCATGCAACATGCAATCACGTCCATGGCTGCAACACAGTCGATGAACATGTCAGCTCGAGGGTGGACTGCGACTAACCGGTGTAATAGCGCCGTCCCGCGCTTCAAGGGGGCTTTGATAACGTCCTCCGACGTGGGCCTCCCGCTCGGATAGAACAGGGTCTATGGCAGTGTCAAACTCGAGCGTGAGCAATGAACAAAATTTGCGGTACCTCGCCGCCGTCGACGCCGTCTTCGTAGCCAGTCAGATAAAGTAACAATGTCCATTCGGACTTTGCGCCAGTTGTTGGGTCGCGGCAGTCGTCGTCATAGTGCGGGCTGGACGTTTATAATCAGGACGGTACGACATCATATAAGTGAATGCAAACCCAAAGTGCTGTAGCGGAGTATATTTGTAGATGCGTATATTCGAATTGAAAGAGTGCGCCGCACGAGCGGGGCCAATGGCAGACCTTCCCATCTTTGGAGGCACGAATGGAGGGAGATACGGAGCAAAGACGGCATGTAGACGCTTGGCAAAGTCGACAGACGTGACGGAGAATCGGTCTAGAGACAATTAGCATCGACCTAATGTGCGGCGCGCACCTACGGTTGTGTCTCTCCGCTTCTCCGCGTTTCTTTGGCGGGGTGAGCTCTAGGGGCAGACTGTCGATGAATTTCACGAATGATTTACATTCGGCTGGCGAAAACACGTCCTGCGCGCGGGTGAGTCGATACCTCGGTCGCCGGTCAAGTGCGTTTTCCACACACATCGATCACGATGATCTGGTTATCCAGTAGAACACGGCACTCGAGCTCTGACTTGGGCGATATGTCTGGGAAAACGGCGGAGGACTCGGTGGGAGCGGGTTTGGTTGCGCTTTGTCTTTCTTCCCCATAGTTAGATTGCAATGGAGACCTGTGTGAAAAGAGATCGGTGAGAGCGACGCTACACTGAGTCTGCTTGACTCGTCGTCGAGGTTGATATCAGGGAATAAGTCAAGTCGCCGAGTCGATCGTTCAGTTGATCGTTCGTCCAAGTTAGGCAGTGTTGGAAAAAGACAGCAGAAAAACAACCACACGTTTTATTCACCTTGCGGTTAGCCAGAAGACGTGTTCGGCAGAGGATGCGGCGGAGCTTATCTATGTAGCAATTGAGAGGCAACGAAAGCCCTAAAACCGGAAAACTGAGGAGAAAATTACAAGAAAGGACTGAAAATACTCGGGGGGACCAGTGGACATAGGAACGAGGGTTTCTCGGGAAGGCAAATCGAGCAAAAGAAGACATACTGCCCCCGTGAGGTTCGAACTCACGATCTCAAGATTATTGTCGAATTAACAGTCTTGCGCCTTGAACCAGCTGGGCCAGGGGACAGTTGCACAGCATTCCCAACATGCAGAGATGGCTGAGAGCAAGCTTTTGACTTCAAGGCACCAAGAGAATCGAACCAGCCGTTGCCGAGAGCGTAAAGGCGCGTTGATAAAGATGTACCACCGGTCCCTAACTGGGAGACATTGAAGCGGCGAACTTAAGCCATAGGTAGAAGGGTAATCACGGAGATTTAAAGGTACCTATTGACACGCTGCGTGGACAGCTGGAGTAAGAGTCGACCTCGAGAACTGAATCAGCCGTTGCCGAGAACCAGTCGAGTCTGTTGCGCTTTGAATTCACTTGGGATAAACAAACGAAACCGCTATACCAGCCCTCCAGGATACAGCCACCGAAGGGCGGCATGCGAGTCAAGACCCCGAGCTGAGTATAATAGTTGGGTCAACCTCGCTCGCTTGTCGCGCTTGTCACATCAGATCAAGTCACTGTTCACTTTTGCGTCCAGTTGTGATTTGTAGATCTGCCTCTTGTGGCCCTTCGAGTCGTCGTCCACTCGCGGCTTTTACCAACCCTGCAATTAAACTCCCGCCCCTCATTTCTAAACCTACGACGGAAGAATAGTTCCCTTCACACGCAATTCCAGATGAATATCGAACGGCACAGTTGCCGTTCGGACGACTCGGAAGACTGTTGGCAGTTCCAAGCGGTTTCGAATGGAGATCTTTATTCTTGCGGGCTTGCAGGACCGCATATGAGTCGACTGTGGACAGGTTCCTGTGCAAGTTAATGCACATTCTACAAGTCCATCGTCAACTGGTTGCGGGGCGTGAACCAAGTGACACAGAATTTGTCCGCAGAAATAACGTCCGTCGACTTGACATTCAAACGCGCCTGCCCAGGCGACCACATCGGCGTGGTGTTGGCGTCGACTTCAAGAGCACCTAGAACTGTGTCTTGTTACTCGCAGTTTTGTGTATAAGAGCCTGTACATTTGCTGTACATAGATATAATTCAAGTTGGTTGGATTCGGACGAGTTTGCGAAACAACGATAACGTGAAGCTATTTTGAATTTTGACATGACCTATTGAAGCGC